TGTTTTCTTCTTCAACTAAATTTAACCTCTCGACAATAGGGTCGGTTGGAATTTCCGGTTCAACAACCTCCTAGATAAATAAAATCTATGTCACGTTGGTCGGCATAATTGTCATAAACAATAAATGAACCAATAGTTATGAAAAGATAATATATACCACATCCGAATCATAGACAGGACGAGGGCCGACGGGGGCGGATACCAAAACCATCACACTATATAAGATGCAATAATAAAAGTAAGAAAATTATACAAGTATCTATATAAACATACAAGTAAGAGGCTCACCACGGTGGTGCCCGCGACGAGATCGGCGCCGGCGATCGACGGCGGTGAAGACGGGGACAGGACGTGACGGACCGCTAAAACTAGACAAATATTGAGGAAAATGGAGCTTGGAGGTGGAGCTTGGAGAGGAGAAAGCCTAAGTAGTGTGGCTCGGGCATTCCATCGAACACCTCATGTGCATAGGAGGTGAGCTAGAGCACCACAAAGCTCCCTTCTCGCATGCCACGAAAAACAGAGCAGTGAGAGTGCTCTGCTCGCGGGGTATATATAGGCAACTAATTGGTCCCGGTTCGTGGCTTGAACCGGGATTAAAGGGAAGCCTTTGGTCCCGGTTCAGGCGACCAACCGAGTCCAATGGTGGTGGGCCAGGAGCAAGGCACATTGGTCCCGGTTCGTCCCACCAACCGGGACCAAAAGGTCCGGACGAACCGGGACCAATGGCCCACGTGGCCCAGCCGGCCCCGGGGCTCACGAACCGGGTCCAATGCCTCCATTGGTCCTGGTTCTGGATTGAACCGGGACTAATGGGCTGACCCGGCCTGGACCATTGCCCCCTTTTCTACTAGTGATTCTTGAGTATTATCCTGGAGAGAGGTATGATGGAGAGAAAAGGAGCCATGCTGAGAGGAAAGAGAAAACATCTCGATGGCTCCTTCACTACCCACAACAACTGCATTCGGACGCCGACCATGACCAATCCTTGGGTCAGCATCTCTGAGCTGCATATGGTAGCCGGTAAGAAAATTGATGGTTGAAAACCTCAAAGTGCGTGTGTCCAGCACCATCAAATGGTCAGTCCAGTCATAACGGTCTGTCCAGTAGAAGCAGCTGCCCACGCAGTCAAAACAGGACATGACGTGCCAAGAAGGGACGACAGGGGACTCAACCATACACCATTGCATAGTTGTGGACGGGAACACAAAGATGACGAGCTTTGTCTCGTATCTTGCCACACATATCACCTTGAAGGGCTCGTCGCCGCTTGCCGGAGCGAGCACGGGCTCGAATGCCCGAAGGCGGTCTTGCGGCAGGGCGGCGAGGTCCTCGGGTATTGTTGGAAGGAGCACGAACCCGCGGGACAGCAGATCGCAGACAGCAAGGTGGAAGTCAGCGGCGTTGCACATCTCCCGTTTGGTCCACGCGTGGTAGGGACCCCTCCCAAGGAATTCCCTGGAGTCCATGAGGATGCTTATGTCGGAGCCGTCGCGATAGCTCCAGCTTTTAGTGAAGCGGGGGTGGAGGGATATCCAATCTAGGAGGACGCGGCCGCTGCGGACGTCCCGGGGGCGCCAGCGGGGGTCTTTCCCGTCGTCTTTCTCGTAGTAGGAAAAATGAGAAACGGCGGCCGGGACGAAGGAGAAATCGGTGGCGCAGGGAGCGAGGGCGCCGACGAGCGGGGCGGAGGGGTGCGGCGCCTCGGCGGGGCGGGATCCAGCCGCGTCCAGGAAGCCGAGAAGGGGAGGCCGGTGTAGCGCGCGGAAGCGTCGGCAGGAGGCACGACCTTTGGCGACACGGCGGAAGGTGGTGCAGGTGGCAGAGGCACGAGCGAGCATGTCTGGGTTGGGCAGGCGGAGGAAGATCTCCTCCAGGAGGACATCGGTGATGGGGATGGAGTCCATGGCAACCGAAGTGGAGGAATGGGATTGAGGGCTACGGTTGTACCGCTGGGGATGTTGGAGACCATTTGTTTTTGATGATGATGAGGGGATGCTAGAGACCTGTAGCGATCAGAGAGGGAAAAGTAAAATTGAAAATTATAGTTTGAAAAACAATGGGCTGAACCGGCGACGCCACCAAACCATTGACATTCTCCGTCGTGAAAGCGCGTCGTCCGGCCGGATTGTTTTTCCAGTATATATATAGGGAAACCTGGCGTTGTGACAGGGGTGAGGGCAGATGCTTCTCCAGCTGCACTGTGATCGACGTGGTCAGTCCACGATTAAGTTAAGCGCCTAGTGTACTGTATGTTGCAATAAGTTGCTTTGTTAACCCGGTTGGATAGAGCTCTTGGAGTCCGTGGCTAAGTTTGCATGTGTAGGCCAGAAGCGTGCTGATTCACGTTGCGACTAAGTAAAGTTTCTTCTGTTGGGCGACTGAACTAAAGGAAAGAGTGACATACATGTTCCCTCTGTTCCTCCAGTTTCTTGCAATACTAGCGCCAGTTACAGATCCCATCTGAATTCTGCATGTTCATACTTCTTTTGTATAGAGTAGGTAAATTAAAGTAAAAACTGACATCCTATATACATATACATCCCCACTACATGATTTATCTAAACATGCAGCCTATCCACCACAACACACCTGTCACGCCAACATTCTTCTATTGACATACATATGGGACCAACCACTACAACACCCAGTAACAGGGCGTAGTCAGAAAATTTAGCCATTGAGTTCACTCATTGACTGGTTGTGAAAACTTGGTATGAACTAAGTTCAATTTTACGCCATATCACAACAAGATTATAACAATCAGAGAAACCATGATAAATAGGAATATGATATCCCTTATCACAAATACTCCTTCCGTCTCAAAATTCTTGTCTTATAAAAAGCAACAAATAATGTTAGTTTGACAAGTTTAAAATGAAAGTATCATCATGCGAAAGAATCATGTAAAGTTACTCACATTTTACTTTGGAGATACCTCTCATTTGCTCGCACATTATCAATGTAAGTATCTCCAATGTCCCTATGTGGATAAACAAATTTAGATGGTGGCCTGCAAAATCCTCTTGTTAAAATATCAACTTGCTTCTTATGATTTTGTGTGTACTCTCAAATTCTCTTCTGACCAGTCGCATCATAAGGCAATTCATCTAAATTAATTTCTCTCTGAGTGGAAGACTTCAGGAGATTACTTTGATGCGATAATTGATATATTTTACGTCTAATGAGTGACCTCGGCGAGCCCACATCAAAATACCGTTCCATAGCCTAGATCAATCAAGGTCCATAGAAAAAACAATTAGAAAACTAGGGCAAAATATTTACCATACTGGACTAGATAGAACATGCACAAGAGGATGTGCCGATGTGATCTTACAACCTCGAAATTGAACAACAGTTATGTGCTTGCTGCTTTCAATCTGCAATTGAACGCTTGCGGCCGGCGTTCGGGCGAACATAAGGCAGGATGAGACAAACAGAGGGAGACGAGTTGGGGAAGCAAAAAGCCCAGCGGCTGCCGTCATCATACATGCTATAGATCGACAATAAACCAAATTATTGATTAAGTGACGAACAAGCATGGTAGTAGGCACCAGAGACGATTTCTACTTGGGCTTTTGGGGCTTTTACTGGTCCATTCACGTGGGCTTGGCAGCTTGATTGATGTGGTCACACTTCATTTTCTGTTGGGTTGATGCCAAGTGAGTCGTACGATACACACACATGCACGTAGCTGGCAAGTTTTTTGTTGGGCTCAACCAGTGTCGTAGCTATGATCTGGCCACGCCCCGGGCCACCCTTGGCGCTACAGTAGTTACTGTAGCTACAGAACGTGACTGTAGCTACAGTCAACGAAGGTTTTTCCCTTCATGACCAGGGCCATGGCCTGGGCAGCCCGGGGCCTGGCTAAATTTCTCTCAACCCAACAACAGTGCTAGACGCAAGGCAGGGCCTACCCCCATGAAAATCGGGGGTGGGGAGGGCGGAGATTAGTTAGCCTTGAGATGCCCGTATGGCTCTGTGCGTCTAGGATTATTGCTACAATGCCCCTGCCATAGTCACACGCTCAGGGTAGGCGAGGCAGGGGCGAGCCGGTGAGGGCCGACGTCTGTTTTCGGTTTCGCTTGGACGTGCTATGCCTACCGGTGACGGTGATGGATGTTTCATTGGTTGGTCGTGCCAGGTTTGGATTATGGCATCACCTGACAAGACACTCCCTTTTCATTGCGGCATGGTTTCTTTTAGACTTCTCCATGTTCGTGTTTTGTTTGCTGTCGGTGGCAGTCGGCGATGCGTTAGCTCCTTGTGTCAAACAAGGTTCAGACTTGTTTCCCTCCCAGCTATGTCGTCTCCTTTCTCAGATATGCAACTGGGCTGCACGTGAGACACGACCGACAAAGGCTGAAACCTGTCGACCAAACATAATCATTAGCCATTCTCAAATCGCTCGCCTGTTCTCCTCTATTCTTTACCTCCATTATTGCGGGAATCAATTACAGTATATTCCAATGAGAGTTGATTGTATGAAAGATTAATATTCTAGATTAACATATGTGAATAAAAGTGAAATATATATTATTTATTGCATTTGATTATTGTATAATTATTTTATTATATATAAATAGCATAAAATATTGGAAAGCTTTTTCCATGCATGTTAAGGTGCGCCTTTGATGAGATGAGATGACATATGTGGCAGCTGCAGTGAGGTGGAATGTGTGCATGTTGAGAGAAATGAAAGTAGTGGAAACCATTATTTAGTTATTTAGAAGAGTTTTGTAAAAAATATATACAATCATTACTTCTCAATCAACTCCAAACCATCTGATCCACGTAGTGATTAGTGCAGATTTTTTTTTTCATTTTTGAGATTTCAAAAAAAAAAAGTCCTATGAAAATGTGTTGATAAACATAGGTATTTCTTAATCGACTGTGATGTAGCCACACACAAGATAGAATAGATAGATAGATAGATATAGATAGATAGAAATAGAAGATAGATTAATGGTGGTGATGAAATATATGGCTTGGTCTACACGTTACATAGGCGGAGGGGGATGGATAGGAACATGATATGACGCTGCGCAGTTTGCCGCGGCGAAGGTCACGGTGCGCTTGTCGAGGTCGTACCCGACGTGCATGTTCTGCTGCGCGATGTTCCCGAGGATCGACGCCGGTAACCGCTCCGGCACCGCCGACACCGCCAAGCACATGGTGCCCTCCTCCACAACCACGAAGGTGTTCTCCGCATTGAGCGTGACCACCGCGCCGCCGCCCAGCCCCAGCGTCACGTCAGGGACCATCGCCTTCGCCCGCCGCTCCCCTACCCTGCTCACGTCGAAGCACAGCGTCAGGAGCTTGTCGGGCGATGGCGCCCGCGGGAGCTTGATCCGGCGGCTCAGCTCCTTCACCATTGGGTCCAGCAGCGCCTTGTTGAGGAATGTCAGCGTGGTGCCGGAGTCGACGATGACGTCCTGGTGCCCGTGCGGCGACGCGATGGTCATGTTCCCGATCTTGACGGACTGGAGGTCGACGGTGTAGTACGTGTCCACTAGGGATGGGATCAGCGGTGTCGTCACCGCGCCTGTGTCCTTCACTATGGCGCGGGCGCCGAAGTTGAGCGCGGAGGAGGCGTTCACGGAGTAGGGCACGAGGCAGTAGGAGAATTTCCGACCGCCGAGCGATTTGTGGGCGCCGAGCTGCGTGACGAGGGAGAGGGCGCCGCCTCCGAGGCCCACCACGCCGTCCGCTTGGAACGTGCCAGCCGTGGCAGTGGAGCAGCCGAAGTTCACGGTGGCCACGCGCTTCCTCCGGCCCCGATGGCCGCGGGCGGTGCCGGGGACGTGGGCGAAGGTGAAGGTCTCGGTGGAGATGAGGCCGCTCGTCCTAGAGCCGTCGCCGTAGGAGTAGATGTACTTGCAGTTGGAGGCGAGGGTGCAGGTGGCGCCGTCGGGGATCGCGCGGCATGCGCGGGACTTGCAGCCCACGAGGCCGAACGTCGTCGAGTTGTCTGGGTCGAACAGGACGACGCTCGGAGGACGGTCCACAGCGGCGGCGCCAGTGCCGTTCCGGCAGTTGAACCAGACGAGGTCGCTGCCGGTGTCGGCGATGGCGAGCATCCGTGTGGGTGGAGTGCCGATGCCCACGGCCATCAGGTACTCGAACGACCTGTGGTCGACCTCCGACATGGTGCCGTCGTCGATGACCCGGGCGCGCGCCGTGGACCGCCGCGCCGCCGCAAGCACACGGCCGTGTGCGGTGAGCGATGGGTCGTGGAACGGCGACCGAACGGAGTCCCGGTGGATGAACTCCACGCTAAACCCATCGTCGCCGCGGCTGCCATTATTGCGTAGCTCCGTGCACACACAGAGCTGCACGGCCAGGACGACGCAGGCGAGCAGGAGAACGCCGGAGATGGTCGTCCCCGGCATTGTGTCCTACTCCAAAGTCCAAACTCAATTCCCGGGGATTTTGTCCATCTACTGGGTGCTGCAGCCATTGAGATCACGGGGTATTAATTAATTTCCATCTAAAAGATCGATGATGATGATTAAATTAATTACTTGCCAATCTAAAAGATATCCAGAGTGATTGATGGCATGGTATTGCGGGGTATTAATTAACTACCAAGAAACGCTTACTAAAACAATATCTAACCAACCGGCTTTGATATATTTTCTCATGAATTGCCTTGTGCCTTGTATTCCAGATTGCCCACATTGTCACCCCAATCCTCGTCGCCTCTTCATGAGTGAGCTTCTCGATGACGCTAAATAAACCGAAGCTTCGCGCTCGCCTTCAGTGAGTGCATGGCTAAACACACCGTGCCTCGGTGAACTCCGACGGTGATTACCATTTTTCATTTTTGAGGGATATGAGCAAGCAACTGTGGGCGATTGATCTGAACAAGATTTGGGCTGAAAGCCCTATTTTGTTTCTTTGGAAGAGGTTGAAACTTGGTTGGGGCAAAGGGGCAGAAGAAACGATGGGACATATTTGAAGCCGTGCTGCATTAGAACCTTACCATAAATTTGCATACAATAATACTTCCTTCGGTCCGTTTTAGTTCGCATATAAGATTTGTCTGAAGTCAAACCTCGTAAAATTTGATCAAGTTTATAGAAAAAAACCAACATTCAGAATATGAAATCAACAACATTAGATGCATCATGACTTTAGTTTTCATATTGTATAAATTTAGCATTGTAGATGTTAATATATTTTCATATAAATATCGTCAAACCTTATGAAGTTTAACTTCAAACAATTCTTATATGCAGAGTAAAAACGACTGGAGGGAGTACTACACGTACAGGATGATTCATACAAAGCTTTACAAGGAGACAACATGGCCTCATCTAATTGCCCCCCCCCCCCCCCCAGCCCTCATTTTCACTGGTGGATCCGCCCTCCTAATTAAATCTCTGCCAATCACACCCCTCAGCCCCGTAAACCCCCCGTAAACTCTCCGCACATCTAGCATTGCTCATTTGCATAGCTTCTTAGGGTAATTGAACTATGCAAGCAGGAGTTTGTCTTCGCCCACAACTGGAGATAATTGGGCCGAATTTAAAATATTTATGTACATGAAAAATCACATACTTTTTAAAAAGGTATTTAACAATGTTAGTGATTTTTTTTAAATGTCTCATGTATTGTTTTGAGTAAAAAATGTGTTCATGCATTTAAAAATATTCATGTAAGTAAAAATGTTCTTGTATTCTAAATAGTGTTTGTGTGTTCAAAATGAGTTCATGCCTTTAAAGAAATTTTCTGATATTTTTAACAAAATGTAGGTGATATTTCCTTTAGTGTTCCTATAATTTCTAAAAATTATTTATGAATTGAAAAATGATTGTGTATTTGCTATATATAAAATGGACAAATGGGAAGAACAAGGATACACCTAAATGTTGTATAATTGTATTATTAAAAAGGATTATATTTTGTCAAATAATAAGAAGAATGGCATAAGAAAAATAAAAGAAAGACAAGAGAAAACAAAACAAATTAGTAAAGAAACGAAAAAAGTGGCATATGATTGGCCCTCATGGCATACAACACTTCCCCTCAAATTGAAGTTCGTTGAGCTGCGTGTCCCATGTAGCTGATGAAAGGCGGAGAGCGGATCTTGCAGAAGAGCCAGTGACGATCTGGTGGAAGAAGACTCAGAGGGCGGAGACACGGACGAGGTTGGACGGGGTGAGGTTGGACGGGAGATCGGCCAGGTGGTCTTTGATGATGGAAGTGCACGGAGATGAACCATATCCCACTGACCAATCGACTCGACGGTAGTTTGGAGGGGTTTGGAGTGGAGATCGAGAGGCCGACGAGAAGATGGACAAGTTTTAGGCTTAGGGGGATGTCCATGTGTCGCCACCAGAGCTGGGTTGCGGCGGGTTTGTGCTGGAGTTGGGAAGAAACGAATGTGCCGCGGAGCTATAGTTAGCAAGATAGTGGGCCTGCGCTCGCCTCCCGAATGGGCCTGGGCTACTAAGTATAAGCAACACCCGGCTCCCGTGCTAGTTCTAGTGGCGTGCCAGGATTGCCCGGGAGTAACTACTCAACGGGTACCCCTTTGGGTGGCTTCCCATTGAACGCATGTGGGAAAGCCCTAGTGTGTCGGTTGGTGTTCCCGACGGTCATCCCGTGTCTCCGTTCGGTGCATAGTTATTTTTCTACATGCGTTTTATTTTCTAGGGTCTTATTGGGATTTTGGATTTTACTTGGTTGTTCCTAGGTTTTCTTATTAACTTTTACTGCTCGCTTATTGTGATTGGTCCAACCACACCTCCCACGGATCGATCCCCGTCTTCAACACATCCGACCATTCATCCAGATTCATCCAACGGACTAGATCGAACGACCTGCTTTTGCCGAGCGGGAGTCGACCAAAAGTCTAATCGCACCCAAACATTTATGTAAGTTAAAATCAGGGCCGGACACTCCAACCAAGGGCGGCCCAAAAAATTTGACGGAACATTATACGGCATTTTCCATGATATTTCGACATGTGTGTTCTTGTCATTTTCATTCTCGGAAATTCAAATGAAGCCAGGGAAACCTGAGACCGACCTGCTATGGCGACATCATATGGACCCCTTGAGGTAGTGGTAAAAGTTTGCACAAAAGTCGACACATATGCTGCTTAGAAACGAGATCATATCTTACGACGGATCCATGTGTCGAGATTGAACGTGTAAGATCTGCACGTGAGGAGTCGGGCCACATCCTCCGTTGATGTTGAAACTTTCCTATACTTAACACACATCATTACATCGGCCTTTTCTCGGGGCCGTCTATTATATTCCAATCATTGAGTGCATTTCTTATGATTTTAATGTGAAAAATTCAAAATATGAATTGCGGCGGCATGAAACCGTGACAAAAATAATGGGATGAAAATTGCGGCGAGACGGACGCGACAGTCACCCTGCCCCTCTTGTTGTCCGCGGCAACACCGACGACCCACATCTCCGCCCTCTCCATGAACCCTAGCGGCCGCCCTCTCCTCCGGCTAGCTAGGTATAGCTCGATGCCTATTAAGAAAAAAAATCAGCGTGTTGCTATTTTGTTGATGAATAACGCTATATGATACGTTTTGCATGGTTTTTCGTTGGGTGGTTGTTTTATCATGGCGCGGATTTACAAATCACGGGACCTCACATTGGCCACATGTCGTCGGGTCCCTTGCTCTTTTCTCCTCCTAACAATGACCACGGCGCCCATGGATCCGGAACGCTAGCAATCAATCAGGATTTATAAGGTCAAGTTGGTTTAGTAGACGCGGACGTGGGTCGCTAAATGAAACCGGCGTCGTACTTAGGGCCGCACAAAATTCATTTTACTTTCTCAATTCGGATGAAAAATTGGGTTGGCACCCCACCTAGAGCCTGGCCAAGGATCGATGTATCACTAGTAGAAAACGGAGTTATATTACCGATTCGTAGGGATCTTTAGTGTCGGTTCTGTAACCGGCACTAAAGTGTGGGGACTAAAGGTCCTCCTTTAGTCCTGGTTCAGCACAAACCGGCACTAAAGGGCCACCACGTGGCACGAGGCGCGCTGTGGTCTGGGTAACACCAACCAGGACTAAATAATTTTTTAAATTTTGTTTGAAATAAAACAAAAACAGCCCACCTACTGGGTCGGCACGGCCTGCATACGACTAGAAACCCAACATCTAGTTGTGCCAAGATGCAGGCCCATACGACACAGTAGGGTCCACAGGGCAGAAGACTTGCAATAGGCCCACAAAGGCCTGCTTAGAGAGGAGCTCGACATGGTAGCCGTGGCGGGGCTTATAAACCGGTGCGAGCTCCTCTCAACTAGCGAGGGGATGCATTGCGGGTGGCAGCGCACCTCTTTAGTACCGGTTGGTGGCACGAACCCGTACTAGGGGGGGGGGGGGTCTTTAGTACCGGTTGGAGCCACCAACCCGTACTAAAGGTTCGCCACAATCCGATACTAATGAGCGCCGCCCGCCTAGCCGTTGGAACCGGCACTAATGGTCACATTGGTGCCAGTTAAATTACAAATCGGGACTAATGAGCTTCACATTAGGCCCTTTTTCTACTAGTGTATGGCACGGCGTGGATCCCTTCCCCGGGCGAACTGGTGCTTCCCCTCCGAGCGGCGACCCCGACCCATCTCCTCTCCTCTCTTTCCTCCTCTGCCCGATGAGATGAGATGAGATCCCCTGATTTATTTGCTTGTTCATCAACAAGCTTGTTTTCATTTTAATTGTATATGTAATATTACTACTACTCTCTTTGTAAATAAATATAAGAGCGCTTAGATCACTACTTTAGTGACCTAAACACTCTTGTAGTTTTCTTTACAAAGGGAATACTATATATAAGAAGAAAAGGGAGAAAAAAAAGAACATGTGGAGATATGAACCGACAGGAGATTCTTGTGGGCGGGGACGCTGGTTTGGTGCAGCGATTATGTAGGAGTTTGAGCAAGTTGAGTTGAAACTTTGAGGATCGCTGGCAAGAGTTCTTCCCCGACCGAGCTGGCTCGAATCGAATCGAACAAGGACATGCGTACGTCCACTCACAATAAATCAATCAATCAACCAAAGAAAAAAATGTGAACCAACCCGTGGTTAAATGATTAGAAGGACTGTGGTAACCTCAGCCCACCAGTGTTCAAATCCTGGTGCTCGTATTTATTCCTGGATTATTTCAAGATTTCTGGTGATGCGCAATTCAGTGGAAGGAGACGTTCCCGTTGACAACGATGTGCCCGCGGTGACTTTGTAAATTTCAAGATGATATGCCAACTCAGTCTTTCGGAGGTGCTCATAGGGGTAGGGTGTGCGTGTGTGCGTTCATAAGTGTGCATGTGTTTTCATAGGGGTGAGTGTATGCGCATGTATATAAGCGCTTGCGTCTGTACTGTGTTCAAAAAAAGTCAAAGGAAAAAA